CAACGCCATCAGTATACAAGGAGGCTAAAAGAAAACTCAAGAAACATGGTACTTTGACAGTAAAAGGGGATTACGAACCATAAAACAAAAGAAAGAGAACAAAGCACAATGTTGGAACTGCAGCATGAAACATGTGAAATTACAGAGGCTATTCAAGGGATAAATATTTATGGCTTGTGACATGGCCACTCGGTTATATATTCACACTGTTAGAGGTTAGATGACCTTACGTCAAACGTAGCTTTGTTCCTGTCGTTCCATGTGAGAAACTTTGAAATGGTCCATGAAGCAGTTTACGGAAGGTTTAATTTGAGCAAGCGTTTTACTTGACCGTATGTTTATTTGCAACCCGTCTCAGAGGCTCTTTTAGCATGTGATAAGGAAAGTTGACCTTAAGTTTCTTATTGTTTCCGATATCTCTGGTACAAAATCCTGATTTCAAAGTCTACAATTACCGTTCTTTGCAAATTTCAAAGTATCATAATCCACCGTAGCTTTATGATATAAAATTTTAAAAGGTAGCTCAAGGTTAAGTTTAGTCCGTTTTAACCAAAAAGGATACAGTTTCCATGAGTTATATGATAGGTCTAACGTGAAAAGTCTTGTAAAATGAGACTGTACTTTCTCACTTTTTTGCCAGTACAGGGAACATATACAACCAAGCGTAATTGGGCAGTATTCCACTAGGGTTTGAACACATTTTAAAAAGGGTTATTTTAGATTCCTTAAAATTGAAATCGTCACCAATAAATACAAAAGTTTACGTGCTTTAGAGACTTGGGATGTAGCCTGTCAGGTGGCTGAGAGACTTTCACTCCTGAGCTGTTTAAATTCCAGCTTGTTCAGCCACAATCTTGTCTGTGGATTAAACGTCCTGAAATGCATGTACCCAGATCTTTCGGGTTTGGAGAAATGTTGTCCTATTTTCACTACCTGGGTTCGATCTTTTAAAAAAAACGAAATCCGCCCATGCATTTTACCTCCTATCAAATGCTTTTATAAAGTCAAAGTGAAGAGTGACAACTAATTCACCTTCATCTCTATTGTTTATTACATAGTCAAAATATCCTAGATGACCGGTTATACGTGACGTTCAAAAATAAATCCATGTTGTGTGGGTACAATCACTTAGTGTTTATCTAGATGATTCCCAGTTGTCCTCTTAGCAATCTTCTACATGGTTCTAGATAAGTTGTAATTATGGTTAATATTGCGGTAGTTGTATACATCCAGTCTTGATCCTTTTGAAAACAAAGAATCATGCATGTAGTTTTCCGTCGGCATGGGAAAATTCCCGAATCAAAGGCAGAATAAATATTTTAGTATGTAAGATATGCATGTCAGAACTCCCATATTTAATTAAATTAGCCGATACGGATGACTCATTGCTAAGATCCACAAGAACATATGTGGTAGTGTTGGACGGGTTGATGAATGATGTATTTTGATGTTGGTCGTGTGGATCGATCGTGAAGTCTTTTAAGCTAAGAGGGAGCGCTGTTGATGGTCTTAAAGCGACGAAATGTTTGTTCTTCGATAGCTCATTTCGTTGATTACAGGGGTTATAAGGGAATATGCAAGATGAACCGGTGGAGTTATTTAGAGGGCTTGACCAGGAGGGAGGCGTTAGAAAACTCCCTGATCAAAGCTGCATGGGAGAAGCAAGTTTATTTTTCGCGTATGATTTAAAATGACTTCGGTAAGCTCTTCGTCAATGGTGCCACTGGAGGCTGTATTCCAAAAAAATTGTTGTACGTACTGTACGTAACTACAAGCAGTTATGACTGTTTTGTACATGGGTTCCATTTTGTACAGTAGATTGATACGGAAGAATGTGAAAAGTTTTATTTCTGAGAGAATTAGGGTTGTGGTCCTGAAGAATAAGAATGTGGTTTCATGTTCGAAACCTACTATTTACATACTTATTAATGGTTCTAGATTTTGCTACGTGAGTTGGGTGACCAATGCTCCGGTAATTTCTGTTGGTCTGGGTGTTAAAGGGTTGATCACTCTTTCTTCTACTATCAGTTCTGCTACTCAGAGTTTCTGACGGTAAATCTCATGATATTAACGGGTATGGACTATTTACTGTTATTGAGAGACCCATAAAGAAGCGACGTTGAATTTCACATATTTTCTCATTTTATATAGTCAATTTTGTATTCTCACCCTTTTCTATAGTCGAAGACTTCGTGTCTGCGAGACGAATTCAAGTTTGTCCAAGTCATCTTGTGTAATAACCTCAGGAGGACTTATTTTCACGTGATTAGGTTCAGTTGAATGTGTGTTGTCACGCAGCTCACATTCAAGTACCTTGCTGAGCGAACATCTTAGATCAGAATTAAAAATGTCGTTATGTTTTCTGGTGTCAGCTGTAATCTGTGTTCCATTCAGAAATTTCTAATCTTCAGTTTTATCTGGATCTACAGAGGGATGTGATGTTTGTGGATTACCATCATGCTCGTCGCTTCAAGTGTTTTACAGAACAAACTTTCTGAAGAAACTCGCATGCACCCGGACATCCTTAGCCCACAACATACACTTCTCTGAATCAATAGGAGACCCTACAACACACACAGAGAACTGGCAGTACCCACTTATCCTAACATGAGACTACGCCTGTATAACACCACGCCTACTCAAGACACATGAGAGCAATCTAGAACAAAACTTAAAAGCTCTAAGAATCAAAACTCAATCATACATAACGCAAACATCTCTCTTGGTAATAATCTCAGGCAATTCCTCAAATCTAGCCTGAGACATGCAACCACCTCACTACCCATAACAGGGCTAAAATGGCCCAAGGCAAAAAATAAAACTACAACATTGGTCTAATAAGGCATACATCTAGTGCTTCTAGACAATACCTCAGTCACGTTATCCTATACAGCTCTTTGATCCCTTCAAGTCAACATAAACGCCATCATCTTTTTTATCTCGTCCCCGCGATAGTGTTGTTATGGATCTTCAACTAATGAAGGCAGTAGTCCCACTGTTTTGAGACGATCCTCCATATACTCCGACCTATTGAACAGTCTCACATCTTCCTCTACCTGGCAACAGTTCGTATCCTTAAAAGCACCTTGACTGAACCTTCTGACCACCATCCAAATACACTACCTACCTATTCAACCTGCTCTTCTCCATCTGCCGCTCCTTAACATGCTGCCTTCGCCAAAAGACCCTCTGATTACCTTTCTCCCACCAGGCCTAACAAATCAAACAAATACGATTACTTGTTCCTCTTCTTCACATTACAAAACAAGTGACCCACTAGGTTTACTTCACGCTCTTCTATTAGGCAAATATACACTGCACCTGAAAATAATGTTAATAAGTGCTCGGTTTATACAAAATAAGATGACCCATGTACGCACCCTATTGCTTTCAAACAATCATTCGCTTGATTTGAAAAGAAAGTTGATTGCCCTTCGATGTCACAGATTCATACCTTCAAAAAGACACCTATGAGCTCCTCCGCTGCTATTGAGTCACAAAAATGAATGGTGGCTGTCATATGTGTGCATTTAAACATATAAGGGCGGGAATCTATAATGATGCTGTCCTCAGCAAATTACCTGAATGTGACGAATTATTTGAATGATCAGTGACCCTTCATTTGACTCCAGTTAAACTGTATGTATGATTGCTAGAGAAATATACATCCCAGCCACCATCATATATTTTTATCGACTTCAATTGCGTTGGTGAATAACGGAATGAAACAAGTAAGCATAAGTTTATTTCACTCCCTCATTGATTTGAACAGACAAACAGGGAAAGAAAACAAAGAGGAGAGAGCGGAATGGATCAGAAAGAGCAGGCCGAGTCAAGTTAGTCGAGCGTTACTCAGTGCTTAAGGTCGGACTAAAAATAAGTTGCGGACACGTAATGAGTAGGGCAAGTAATTAACACAGATGATCGTGTAAGTACAGTCAGGGGTTAACAAAACAATAATTGACAGGGTCGAAATGTGTTTTGAGAAGGATGAATCGATTGGTCTGTTCAGAAGCTAGAATCGCCTATATTGCTTTGACATGGTTTCAGCCACTGAAAATCCCGCTATAGAAAATGCGTATAATTACAAAGTACGTCTATGTTAACCATCCTCACAGATGTATATATCGAGCTGTTAATACTCCTAGTTTAACCGAAACTACAAGTGAGTCATTTACTAAGGTTGCCTCCCTTGATTTAGCCTGCAAAATTATTTGTAGCGATTCCAATCTTCCCATTATCAACTGGAAGACAATCTCTGACCCGTTGTGCTTTGAAAGCATACTTAGTCACTTAGACATACGTGATAAGCAGCCACATGTACACCTGCCTACATAAAATCACGACATTCTTGACTTTGTATTTTGTCACAATGCCACAATGGTGGTTGGCGAAAAGTTTTATAAGTGACCATAAAATAGTCCTCTGCACTCTACCGTTTCTAGCAAAGTGAGACAAGTCCAAGACGATAACTATGCGTGTAAGATCCAAACTACGTTTGGACTGCTGGACAGCTGTCTGGATGAGTTAGATACGCGCCCTCGCCCGATTGAAACCAAAACAAAGTAATTGGGTAAGATAGCGGTTCTATAATTTATCATAAATTTAAGTGTACATTATTACCTAAACAAATATAACCACTCAGCTATCCAACCAATAATTGTTCAATTGATCAAATCTAAATTACAATAAATAAGAAAGTTGATAAAGGATGCAAGAAAATTACCAATCACAACAAATAAAGGCTATTCTATCCCGTCTGGATAGACCACGTACAGATCCGTTCAAAAGGTAATAATTGGTCGCTCTATAACACAGTGTTTTCAGTTCTGGAAGAGTGCTTCACTTCACAACCAAAATGCACAATTCCAGTCAACACAGGTCAAGCAATCAAAGCAGGAACAAACCAAAATGGCTGCCGCCAAGACTAAGTGTCAAGTAAAACAACATAAGTGCAGTTCGGGAAGAAACATAGGGACTTAGTAAAGGTGTAATGAAAACGAAAACTATAATAAAATACAAATATTAACAATTCAAATGTAGCCAAAAAGTTAACAATGTACAACTAAGAGGATCAATAGGAACAAAGTGCAAGTAAATACATGGAGGGATTTTCACAAACACACAAAGCATTCAAAATGGATCTTACACCGGCCCCCAAAATCCCTCCATATCACACAAGCTACCTTGATGCCTATGGTCATGGTTCATTATGTAGCATATGACACTATAGGAACGAGTAGGACTTACAACAGTACGCCTACTCGACCTACCTACATTAATAACAACAAAGACTAATCCGAAGCTTCAAGGAGACCTGTTTCACTTGCTCTCTGGTGTTCAACAATAACACTCGTGGTACAGACTTAGTCACTCTTCCCCAAACTCCACCCATGCTGTTGGATGAGGGCCTCGCTGACAATTCACTATTTATCTTCTGCTGATTCGACTGTTGCACAAACTTCCTTAACTCAGAAACTGCCCACACGAAGCTTGACGCACTGTCACTGTAAATCTCTGGAGGTTTCCTTCTTCTTCCAATACAACGTAATAAGGCCATTATAAATGAATCAGTAATCAAACTACACATCATTTCAATATGTACTGCCCATGTTTGCAAACAAGAAAACACATATCCATACCCTTTTTCTAATGATCTTCCTATGTGTCCTTGTTCTTTAGGACAATGTCTAATAATCATTTCCGTCACTAAGTGTCGACTGGGTAAAATTACTGGATGTTTAAAAGCATTTGGGGAATCTGAGTATCTTAGTCGACCTCCAACGCAGAGTAACCCATCACACATTATCAATGCTAAATCTTTCAGACCACCATGACATATTACTTTACTGCTGTTTTTAAATTCACTAAGTAATTCTCCATACACTTCTCTCTGAACCATCAATAAAATCTTACGCTTGGCAATACCAAGCTCTTTGACATTTAAACATCCGAGATGAATGGATCCTTCACAACTCGGTAAACGAAGTACCACCAGGAATTCGATGAACCTTCTAAACCAAGTTACAGCTCTGACTAATTTCAACCACTCGGAATAATAAGAGAGAATGGGTGTCATGTTGTACTTTATACTACTCAAGTTAACCACAGTTTTTCTAAACTCACTATCGTCAGAGAATATTTGTGCGGTCTTATTGAAGGCAAAGTTCGCACGAAACGGCGATGATGTGGCACCAAATGCATGAGTTGTCATTTGAAACTCAGATGGTTCACTCGACATGTCCCCCTCCTGCCACCACAGAAATCTTGAAGCTCCTCGACCAGACTCAGGGAACTTCACTTCCATGAACATTTCCTCAACATCTGCAGGGATCGCAACTGTCTCCTCGCGAAAACTTAATAATATGCACATTAACCCAGCAGTGGTATCGGGTTCTTGATAAATCATATCATTCATGGAAACCCCTGCAAACTCGGCGGCACAATCAAGGACCACTCTAAGTTCTTCTGGTTTCTTCATGTTTAACACTGCATGATGAGGTGAATACCCTCGAGGGCGATAATTAGGCTGCAAATATATTTCAAGGACCCTCTCCGCATAAGTCTTAGTAAATTTACTCTCAATACTGTTGATATACCTGATGTGCAGACTGACATCCTTCGACAATATACCCTTCAAACTTTGTAATCTACGGTTCGCTACTTCATAAATATCCACTTTCATATTTGGATTCTTTTTCCACGGTATAGAAACTACAAAATGACCGTTGCCAAAGCGCGTGCCACCTTCCACAGTCTTTATAGCCACCTTGTCGTCTACTGATAATGATTTATCACTTGAATAAGCATATGAAAACTCTACATCATAAAGCTCACGTATTTCGTTTTCTAATGTCTGTACCTTACTGGTATGGTTAACAACTCTTCTCCTATATTCCGGGCATGATGGCTTATCATTTACGACGTTGCTTGTCGAGTCAGTGTGCAGCAGAACGTGATGTCTCTTCTCACAACTGTCAACGTTACAACGTTTTGCCAGCTTACATTCATTAACTTTATGCCCTTGCCTAAGGCAGACAAAACAGATGCCATTAACCTTCGCGTGAGACCATCTCTCTTGAACGGTAAGCGCTAAAAATTTTGGACATTTATAAATAGCATGATCCAGGGAACACACACTGCATTTAGCTTTCTCTTTCGAATTATTCTCCCGCTCCAATTGCAAGTGACAATTTGTCTTTAAGTTGTGTCCCTAATAGAATATGAACCATGACACATAGAAGCATCAGAAGGCACTTGCCTTGATTGAGGGGATCCATCCTTTTGTTCATCTCTTTTAACATCCACGAGCCTTGGACTTAATTTCCTTCGACGATTGTTTGGCATCGCAAGCGAACGACCAAATATTCCCAGAGACGATGATTGGAATCAACGAAACGAAAGCCAAACGAATTCGACCAAATTATTTGTTTAGAACTGTAAGATCCAAACTACGTTTGGACTGCTGGACAGCTGTCTGGATGAGTTAGATACGCGCCCTCGCCCGATTGAAACCAAAACAAAGTAATTGGGTAAGATAGCGGTTCTATAATTTATCATAAATTTAAGTGTACATTATTACCTAAACAAATATAACCACTCAGCTATCCAACCAATAATTGTTCAATTGATCAAATCTAAATTACAATAAATAAGAAAGTTGATAAAGGATGCAAGAAAATTACCAATCACAACAAATAAAGGCTATTCTATCCCGTCTGGATAGACCACGTACAGATCCGTTCAAAAGGTAATAATTGGTCGCTCTATAACACAGTGTTTTCAATTCTGGAAGAGTGCTTCACTTCACAACCAAAATGCACAATTCCAGTCAACACAGGTCAAGCAATCAAAGCAGGAACAAACCAAAATGGCTGCCGCCAAGACTAAGTGTCAAGTAAAACAACATAAGTGCAGTTCGGGAAGAAACATAGGGACTTAGTGAAGGTGTAATAAAAACGAAAACTATAATAAAATACAAATATTAACAATTCAAATGTAGCCAAAAAGTTAACAATGTACAACTAAGAGGATCAATAGGAACAAAGTGCAAGTAAATACATGGAGGGATTTTCACAAACACACAAAGCATTCAAAATGGATCTTACAATGCGTTTTTAAAATAGAGACTATGCGCGCACTGACTGGTGAAACATTCAATTTCCAATAGAACACTTTGGTTGGGGTAGTTTCTTTACTATTGATAAGCTTTAAGAAACTATAAACATTCAGTACTACCACTAAATCCGCACTGGACACTACTATTCCATTGAAAATGGCTTTCTAAACAATCACTCCAGACATCAATCAAAATCCATAGCTACCTAAAACAAAATGAATGTATTGTATATCAAAAGGCTTCAGTGCCATCTATCAAATGCACGTTCTTTTTGAGTGTCCATGTCCTTTCGTAATTACCTCTTCAGCTGAAAGCTGGTTTGTTCCCTTCCAAAGTAGGGTGTTGCTGATAGTATCTGGATGGTGTTGACGATCTTCCCAAGCACACCACAGTGTCGAAGAAGTTTCCATAACGTTCTCCTATCCACACTGTCAAATGTTTTCTCATAGTCACGGACTTTGGTGTGTAGTGAAGTTCTCCATTTAATTGGTTGTTCAGCGATGATCCGTAGTGTCTCAATTCGGTCTGTGCACGACCGATCCTTACGAATCCGATCTGTTGATCTGGAAGTTGTGAATCTACTGCGTCTTTCATTAGGTTCAGCAACACTCTGTTGGAAGCGTTTCTTGGCACGAATGTTAGTATGTTTCCTCTGTGGTTCTTACACTTTCTGAGATCTTCCTCTGCAATCTTGATGAAGTATTCTTCTTTCCACTGTAGAAGAGTTGGGATTACCAATTGTATTCGAATTGGGATTACCAATTGTAGCGTGGCGTCGAGTTGAGATTAACTATGAACACCGCTACCAAGAAACACGTGCCAAGCGAATCAGAAGGCGTAAGAAGCTCGTTCCAAATGACTCCATAAAATCCCCGAGAAGCCAAATATCAGAAGACAGTTAATGGACCAAGTCGAGGTTTATTAGCTGGCGATCTCGTGGCATCGAAAGGATACCGAGATCGTGCCAGGATACAACCTTGGTTACAGAAGGTAACCGAATTCGCGCGAAGTTACAATCGAAGTGAAGGAATGGAAGCACAAAATAGCTGTCATTAGCACAGTCAAACAAAAGCACGTTAAAACAAACACTGGTACAGTTGGTTATAATAATAATTGTTTTTATTAAACCAGTCGTGTTCTCGTGATAAACGTGAGTCACTACATGAGCCCCCCGCTAGAAAGGGTTTACACTTTCGATAAATAGCGGTTGAATCGTGGGACTGATCGGCTGACGAGCGATTGTAGGACGGAAGAATTGGCGAACAGGAAAGCGATCGTTGATCGTCGAGTTGCCAACGAGGGTCGTTTTCGGAGAACAGTACCAGGAGCGATGTGTTGTATTTATTGCTCGAGTTGGCATGCTACACCAGAGTGGTTTGTATCCAGAATCTGAAGAGGGCGTTCGTAGGACTGCGTACCAGAAACGCTGCAGACGTAGGACGAAACCACGTTGAGCCAAAAGACCAGAAGCGACCATAACGACCAAGTTTGAGACCCAGCGTGTGCCAAGCATTCGAAACCATCGACTGAGTACGTTGACAAGAGCGTGGGTGGCCAATCCAGCTTTCGCCAAAGTTGACTGAAGTCGACGGAACCAAACGGAGATGGTCGAAGGCGTGGGCTCAGGAAACAAAAAGAAAATCAAAAAAAGAAGAGTGTAGCATACGTGTAGTATAGGAATAATCCTACACCGTATCGGTTGTTGACTGTGCGACTAGTCGCGGAGGCGTACGGGTAACCGTACTCGGCGACCGGAACGTGAGACGGCAGTCTCGTTCGTATTTCGTGAGCCTGCAATCTCATCCGAGGTCAGAGGCGGCGTGGTCTGCTGATCTGGACGTGAGACTGTCGTCTCGTCCGTAGAGGGTGCAGATGACGCGTGCTGTTGACTGGGACGTGAGAATGAGGTCTCAGATGTATCTAGCGTGGGACCTGAAGATGATTTGAGGATCCCGCTAGTAGGTTCGATAGGTCTAGCATTGAATCTCAGGTTGTCAGATAGGGCACTGTCATCGACGTGTGCTGGTTTGAGACGATCAATGCTGACGATCTCGACGCGTCCATATCGATCAACCTTGAAGGTCTTTTCGTGACGAGCGATCACGTGAAAAGGGCCTTCGTAAGGTTGTTGCCAAGGTTTGCGTACCGAATCTACTCGTACAAAAACATGTGAACAGGTAGATAACTCTCGAGGGAGAGCGACCTGTCGATGTTGTATTCGAGTTGACACCGGAGACAGCGTTCGCATAAATGCAGACAGTCGATGGACGTAGTCTGATTTACCGAAATTAGGTCTGCTCCGTGGTGTGAAGAATTCTCCGGGCAGACGCAATGTCGTGCCGTATACAAGTTCAGTGGCGGAACATTGGATATCTGCCTTTAAGCTCGTTCTCACCCCTAAAAGAACGAGCGGTAAGGTTTCGTGCCAGTTGCCGTTTCGTGTGCTCGTAGAACACTTTTAAGTGGGCAGTGAAACCGTTCAACTTAACCATTTGGTGCTGGGTGGTAGACGGATATGCTTATGCGTATGCATTCCGTACCAAGCAGCCGGGTCAGCGAGGAGAATCGTTAATAGGGTAACATTACTCGAATAAAGCGTGGAATTCATCATCACGCGAATAAAAAGTGACAAGGATCGTACACATACGTGTGAGTCGACACTTGTTCTTTTTCCGAATCTTCCTGAACAAAACGTGAATCATGTTTGTAATTACCTCTGTCTGACTTTTGTGCTTCGGCTGGTATACCGTCTGTCCTAGCCGCTTTCCCACTGTTAATTTGTCTGATGGCCATCCTGATTTCTCTGATCGTTGGTGAATTGACGTCTATAGGAAGGTCTGTGTGTGCTGCCTCAATATCCGGTGGATTCAGTGAGACTGGTCTGTTCAAGAGTTCCTGGAAGTGTTCCTCCACTTTTTTAATCACAATGATTGGCTTGCTTTGTCTTTCCTTGACCGGTCTCTCTGGTTTACTATATTTCCCTATCAGTTTCTTCATTACACCACATAGTTGCCTGATATTTCCTTCTCTTACACCTGTTTTCATTGTCGTTGCTAGCTTATCCACGTATTTCTGCAAGTATATCCGGTTGACGAGTCCCACATCGGACGAAACGCGTGTCAAACTGGATTCCACTGCTGGGCACTATCCATCTTTGCTTATAATGCTTGTGAATTAAGGCAGTATCGAGGCAATACCTGCAGTATGCACGTATTGTTAATGGCTTTATTCAATATTATATTTTGGTACAATATAGAATTCTCGGCCAATAAGAGGCTGATCAATTGCAGTGTTAAACATAAATGGGAAGATTCAAGTAAACAATACCATGTGTATTAATCACTCTAATACTTGGTGAAAAGCTCAATGAACTTTTATTTGGGATTTCATTGCAATTTTTCTTCGTATATAAGTTACCGGCATTTGACAAATAATTCATTTTCCTTATCTCTAAGTATGTTATTGATTTGGACTAACTCATATTATTGATTTGTATGCAACTGTTATGGAAACAACAAAACGAAATGAATTCATTCTATATTCATCAAACATTTTTATTTATACTTTGTATGAATTTGTGAGGGAAACCGATTGCAAGATATTGTAGTTTATCTTCTAATAAGTTCAATATTTAT